CAATAAACACATTTACTCAAAATGACCGGACAAAACAAAATTACAAAAAACGATTATTCTGTAAGAAATGTCAAATCAATCAAAAATAAATGTAACAATAACGGTATAATTTGTTATTGTAAATAACTTAAAATTCAATATTCAATCTCAAAATATTTGCTTTCATTTACCAATACACATTAAATACATATAGAAAAATTTCTACAGTACACGAAATAAAAGAAACAACATTACATATGTCAATATACAACAAATACATCTGTTGATATACAATAATACATATGTTAATACAGGTACAATACATAGAAAAAACAACAATACATATGTTGATACAAATACATAAACAAACTGTTTGTGGGACACCAGGGCACTACTCGAAAGACAGGGTTTCATATAAATGACTGAAAACTAGGGACGAACTGAAAAAGATATGTGGCTTCGGGAAAAGGGACAAAAATATAAAAAACGCCCCACGTTGGACGCAATTGTTGTGACGTAAATATTTTGCCTACCAAAGGGTTCATTAATACAGGGAGTAGAAAATTAAGGGGAAGAAACTATTGGGGATGGAGATAAGGCAAGCAAAATAATCGCTACTTGTGCGAACGGCACTCAGGGTTTGGTAGGAGAGCTGGGGTCGTGGATAAGTAAAAGATTAAGGGGGTTAGATTGGGGCAACTACAAAAAATGAAATAAAGGGGGTCATTAATATTTTGGAATAAACAAAATAAAAATAAACAGGAAACACCTCAAGGAATTTAATATAGGGCGCCACTTAAGTTGCCTAATTACACCTATCACAACCACTAGTTGTAACTAGGAAAATAATTAGAAAGCATCAAAAACATATCTTTTTCAAACTCAAAAAAAAGGTTAGTTCAAAAAAAAATAAAATGTTAAGAAAACAAAATTCAACATTTATTTTTCTGTCACCACAAACAGTTACAAAACAAATGATAATTACAAAAAACAATGTTGCTATCGGTTTACAACTCTAGACGGTGGGGACACTATAAGAACTTACATTATTAATAAATTGAAATCATATAGATCTTTCAATGCAGTTTACATTAAGGTCAACTTTAAAAAAACAAAACAAATTCAAAACTTATGGTTAGTTATGTGTATAAGAATAAGTAATTATTATGACAGATAGCCAAATCCTAATTTTTGTAATTTTACTTATTACAATTTTTCAACTTGTCATGAAAGCAATTATTAATGATAAATGTCTATTTTTACTCAAAAAAAAATTTAACAAAAAAAGTACCTGACTTCACTAAATATTAGTTTTGGGGCTGGAACTGGTTTTCTAAATACTGCAAAATAACACAAATGCGTCTCCAAGCTTCAGAATGGTCTGGAATGACCAGGGACAAACAAATAGACAAAGGAAGTTGAAGTTGGGCTGGATCATCGGGCTTCGGGTCAAAAAAATGCAAACTTCTAAGCTTGGCTTTTCAAAACTTCATTGAAAATACGATGGCCTCTTATATCGTTGTAACACCTTACAAATCTTCCATTTAGGACATAATACAACACATATAACTTTCCACAAACAGGATCTGTCGGCTTTCTGAAGATTACACGCCGAGCTCTTAACTGACACAACACTACACATTTTCACATGACAAAAGACAAAAAAACGAAAAAACATTACGAATTTGAAGAAAAATTCGGACTCCAATAAAACTACAAACGCTCTTGACAGCGGTTTCACCGAGAGTCAAGAAATTATCTTTTAAAATTGATCGCATAACTTAAAATAACAAACACTTGACAGGAATTAAAACGCAGTTTCAGGCGGTTTGACGATCAAAGGAATATTGAAGAACTTGGACATAAACAAACAATAAAATCATTTATCAACACAAAAATCGACTTGGCGACGTGAAAAGAACGAAATAATTCGGTGTTTAAATACGTACAAATCGGAAATTGAAACACATTAAAAAACATTCTGCGATTTTTCAAACATTTATGAGGGGTGTTTAATATATCACCTATACGAGAGGATTTCAAGATATTTTAAAGAATCAATGAAATTGAAAATGCTACAAACTTAACCATCAACCAACCATACAACCAGCCAGGGCTGGTCTCCCCTTCATGTTTTGTGATAGGTAAAATAGTTAAACTACAAAACCAAAAAAATATATATGCAGGGTAACTTTTACTACGGTAAAAATAAAAACTTTGCAGTTCAATATTTTTAAGTCGAAATGTTTTCCTTCAGATAATTAAAGATTTCCTGGCAAAGGCTTTAAAGACGAAGTAAATAAACTAAAATATTTGAGTTTCCTAGTAGTTTATTCTAAATTTAAAAACAATATTGTAGCAATTATAAATGTAAATATAATGTTGAAATAGAAATATGAAATGGGTGTTAACTGGTAATTATTAACTGCAACTTTGAATTCATTATTTTCAGTGGTATTTTACGTTATAGAAATTATTTAAATTATCCATAAGTAAAAAATATTAAATTATAACGTTCATAACGTATGAAAGATGTATTTTTAAAACATATTATCTCTAACCTATACTTAAAAAAAACAATCAGAACATTCTTGCATTTTTAAACAATCTTAAGAACTTGCATAGCAATTAAATGAAGTAAACAATTAAAAATGAAATCAAATCCAGAAATAACAAGAGATAGTTACATTAAAATTATTACAAAAATATAAAAAAGTTGAATAAAAAATAAGTATTAACAGGCTCCACCTCTTCGATATCTAATTCTGACAAAGTATCTCTTATAGTTTCAGAATAAACTATGTTAATGAATTTGTTTTGGAAATGACTGGAAGTTACTTTTTCCTTACAGGTTTAATAATATGATTATATTTGGACTTGATATCGGTAGAAGTATACGATAACATGCCATTAGAGGTACTTTGGTATTACATTCTATTTCAACTCTACCCGATTGAGCAGATTTGTTTGTGCAATATTTTACTGTAACATTAAAGAGATTGCTTTTTCTGAAATAGATTATTCTTACTTTACTTATTTTCCCGATGCGGTTACTTTTAAGGTACTTGTCAGCTGTAGAATTCTACTTAAAAAAATCATATGACTTATTATGATTGTAAATAATTTGTGTCATATGATTGTAGTAATCATATGACAGTGTGGTTTGAGTTTAAAGAAAAACATGGACGTCCGTTTTGAGTAAGTAATTTTTGATAGTCTTCTAGTAAGGATATTTGCATATTTAAAAAAAACTAAGTTTATTATACTTCAACTTACTATAAATTGTTTTATTTTATCAACAATTAAATGTACCGAATTTTGTAGGAATAGTCAAAGTACGCCCTTACTATATGAAGGGCCACGAGAAAGAACGATCAGACTCACATTTTGTTAATTTTGTACATTTATTTATTTAGCGTATGGCTACATCACAGGTTCATATAAATATAAATATATAAATGATATAAATTACAAACAACAGTAAATGTTGTTTGTACAAATCGAATTTGAAAGTTTTAAGTCGTTTATTTTGGTTCAGGAAAATTAAATGCAAAATATTTAGTTTTCAATTTATTACTATAAGGAGCTGGACTCTGATCTTTTTTGCGCACTAAATGTCGATTGGTGGATCTTCGGCAAATTCCACATCCACTACCCTCATTCGTACCGCCATCGGAAACTAGTCCTTGGTAAAAAAAATGCGTTTCAGGATTTGTCAGGAATTGGGTTAGGTACAATAAATCATACAACTTAGCAGTCTTAATAGGCAGAAGTTCATTACATAGCTTCTTTAGTGGAACAGGTTTCAATTTTCTCTTACGTGCCTGATTTTTTGAGGAAACTAACACGGCTGTAAGATATAGGCCAAAATAATGGTCTTTGTGTAAGATAAACCGTGTATGGTTTTTTTCTATTTTTAAAATCCTGATAGGCCTAGTCGCCGTAGGACATTTCGGCACATAAAGATGGGACAAATGTGTAAAGATAAAAATGCTTTATAGCAAACAACAGTATCTTGTAACGAGCCACTCACATTTACCTGAATTCTATAGCTATAAGAAGATTGATTAAAACTTGCTTCAGCTTCAGGGTTTTGGCTTCTCCGTCTTCTAACGGAGACGGAGGCACTTTGTCACGGTATAACCATGACCAGACCTGTTAAATATTTGTTTTGAACATTGTAGTCCCCTAACTCATTAAAATGAGAAATTAATCATTGTCTTTCTTTCAAAGAGATGACTTGAAAACAGTTGTAACGAAGGCACTTACAGTCTTCCCTGACCTCGTGAGTGTTGATGTGTAATTTTTTCATTACATCACTCATTTTGCCTGTTTTTCTACGCTTTTTGACATTTCCTGACTGATTATTTCCATTAGATATATCACTATCACTAAGATCACTTGACATTATGAATTTTCTCAAAAACAAACTAATGAGAACTGCAAAATAGCAGCACCTCGCTTAGCGATTACAGAATAGAACTGACGCTAAGATGCTATAGATGCAAACGATAATCTACGTTTTGTTAAAAGGTCGTCAGAATCTGATCGTTATTAGCCGTCAGAGCGAGGAACCTGATCGTTCTTCTCCGTTGGCTTATATCTTTCCCCTTTATTATCTTCTGTACGATGATCTTTATTGTACAAACGAAATCATGCTTGGGTTCTTTCCGAGAAAAGCTAAAATATGACGTCAATATCTAAATTCGAACCAAAAATGGAGTCTGATCGTTCTTACCCGTGGCCCTTCATATGGTTGCGGTGGGCGCTTACAGAGTGATTACCTTATATTTTTTTCAGTAGTGGATTTTCGTAAGCAGAAGCGCTAGATATGGTTTACGGTGACAAAAAATTAGTTGAGCAAGTCAATAATATTTTTATAACACCGCTAGATATAAATGGTGCGTATACAGAGGAGGATTCTGCGAATGAAGATGAAGGTGGATTCGTAAATAACCTATCTGGTTCTTAGTTGTACAAATAATGATATACCTACACATTATAATTATTTATTTTTACAGGTAGGCAGCTACGAGTGCAAGCAGAAATACAACTTTCTAGCAATGAAAGGATTGGTACTGACAATGAAGAAATGCAGACAGAGGTAACTACAATCAGTAATTTTTTAATTTGCTTAGGTTTAAAATTTATTTTTATTACAGTCACAAGCAGTAGTGGAGACACCCAAAAGAGAAACTAGAGCATCGTTTCAACTATGGTAAAATAAACGAAAATATGTAATAAAATGAAATAAAAAATGTGCTTGGGTGCAACGAGACTTATAGTCTGCAAGTTTTTAGTTTTCAGAAGATTATTCTTGGTATGAACATCTATCATGTATTGATATCTTCAGTATATTTTTTGATGATGAGACAGTAAACTACTTAGCGGAAGAAGCCCATCGATTTGCACACTTTGTAAACCAAACTGTCCCACGCATTAGATCTAGAGAAATACGTTGTTTTATAGGTATTCTGCTCCTATCGGGGTACAATCCATTATCATCGAAGAGAATGTATTGGGATATCCATGATGATGTAAAGAACAGTTTAGTTTCTAATTCAATGAGACGAAATAGATTTCTGCAACTTCAAAGGTTATTGCATTTCGCAAGTAACACAAAGCCTAAAGTTAGTGACAAAGCATGGAAAATTCGGCCATTGATTGACATAATAAAAACAACATTATCTTGAAAATTTTGTTCCAACGAAAAATCTATCATATTGATGAGTCTATAATTAAGTATTATGATCGTCATCAATTTAAACAGTTTACACATAAGAAACCAATTCGCTTTGGTTATAAAATGTGGTCGTTGAATACTTCTACTGGATATCTGGTAAACTATGAGTTATACTACTAAAGAAGAAATCCACGCTCAAATAAGCAATATGATAAACTTGTTGGCAAGTGTTTATCCCCTTTGGTGCGAATACTTAAAGAGATAAATCAGTCAGGTTTACACTACAACTTACACGTTGACAACCTATTCTCAGGACTTAATTTATTGCGATTTATTGCGATTAGGACGATTTTTATTGCCGAATCAGAAGATGATCTCCAAAGGCAGCTCTTTCAGTTCTTTCAAACAAGCCGACTACTAAATACGAACATTTTTACCAACAAAACTAAATGTATGACAATAGCAAAAGATCCGCTCAGATGTAAGTTAGTGGTTGAGGACAACCCCATAGAACAGGTGATGCAATTCAGATATCTGGGCATAGATATATAAAGCACCCACAACCCAGTAAAGGACCTGAGGAGTCAGATCAACAAAGCATCTGCACTGTCAGGATGTCTGCGGGAGATAGTCTGGTCAAATCCGTATATGCGCACAGATAGTAAAATTAAAATCTATAAGACTTGCATACGACCGATCATGACATATGGCACAGAAGTGCGCGAAGATACTAACAAAACGAAACAGATGCTAAGGGTTGCCGAAATAAAAACCCTAAGACCAATAATGGGGAAAACAAGAAGCGACAGAGCGAGAAATACAAACATTAGAGAGCAGTGCAAAATTCAAGATATTGTAAGATAGGGAAGGCAGCGCAAGAGGATGTGGTATAACCATGTAAGACGAATGGATGAGAATAGACTCCCAAAAATTGCCCTAGAAAACAATCCGCCCGGTTCAAGACCCCCCGGAAGACCACCTAAAAGATGGAGGGATAGTTGGCAATCCACCTCCCAAGAAATTAACCAGAGGCAGCTTCAGAATTAAACAGATCGAAAGATCTACAAAAAGTAGAAGAAGAAGAAGAAGACCTACGATTTTTGGTTACCTACAATTGGAACAATAAAGGAAAACAGAATTCCACCTAGCTGTCTCTTGGAAAAAAAAGGAGTTTTCTAAAAGAAATCGTGGCTATACACAACATGCAATAGAAAAAAATTTGTAAAGATAACTCTGTTGTTATAATGGCATCGATGAGTTGTGGTCGTTCAGCATTGGGCACAGTAAAAAGACTTTTTCATGAAGAAAAAGACCACATTGAAGTAAGTCTGCTTACTGTATTGCTAAATACAATAAAAATATGGGGGGTATCGACTTGATGGATCAAGGTGTTTCAACCTACCCAGTAGGAATTCGCAGTAAAAAATAGTACTGACCAATTGTAACATGGTTGTTGGATGTTTCAGTCCATAATTTATGGCATTCATATAAATAAAAAAGATACATCGTTGCTATCGTTTAGGAGAGAATTGGTCCAAGTTTTTCTCTCAAGATATTAAAGTTCTCCCTTATATACAGGAAGACGTAGTATACACAGACAGAACTTGTCAGATCTTCGTTTTGATCGCATCGACCATTTCGTTGCACCAAACAGTAGAAGGCGATGTGCTAAAGATGAACGTACAACATCTGGACGAATAATGTGCCATAAATGCAAGGTTGGTTTGTGTGTTAATTGTTTTCTAAGATACCACACCAGACGATAAAAATATTCTTAAATAAATAAAAAAATTAAATATTTTGATTTCAACGACCCTAAAAATTCCTTAAGCGCCCAGCGTTACCATATGATAATACCATATAATTTAATTTATTTGATTAAATTTTTAATGAAAAACTTATTTTTTGGATTAAATTATTAACATTTTCATCTAATTAACACTAAAAGTAAAGATTTTCTTTCAAATAAAAAAAACTTAGACGGTAATGCGTTAATAATAGCATGGATACTTTCTACTTGCATATAGGTGTGACCAATAAGTAAATAATTATTCCGCATGGTTTCCAAGCCCTTTGGTCAACCTCGATAATAGACCTATTAAGAATATTAGATATTTCGTTTTCACCCCTTTTGCCGTCACTTGCATTCCAGTAATAGCAAGAAACTTAACGCGTCCCGTGTTGGTACTCCTATAATACGGATGATCAGATTTCACCAAACAACTGTTGGAGCTAATCCAAAAAATAATACCACAAAACAGAATACCACAAGAATGAAAATTAACCATCTTAATACCTTTTTTTAAAAAGGGAGACAAATTGGACCAGTTAATTACAGAGAAAATATCTTATATTCACAACACTAAAATTAACAACCAAAGTGATAGCAAATAAAATGAATAAAATTATAACACTAGCAGAAAAATAACAAGGTTTAAGATTGGGTAGATCATGGGCCGACACTATATTTATGAGGAAGTTGCCAGAGAAATTATTAGAATAGTACACGTCTGCATATTTGTTTCGTGGACCTTAAAAGACATTCCAAGAAGAATTAACTGACCCAATTGAAGCTGGCACTAGCTTAAGCCGGGGGAATTCCCAGAGTACTTTATTTATTAACTTGATCATGGATGAAATAATAGAAAACCAAGAACTAAAAGGGATATTAAAATGGGATAAAAACAACTTATAACAATTTGCTACGCAGACGACACAATGCTAATGTCTCCAGCCACTCACGGTACAGCGAAGTCGTTCGACATAATCGGACAGCGGCGTTGTTCAATTTGTTGGCATAAATGGTGCACCCACACAAAGTACTGCGCCGCAGTATTTGTTCGGTTCTCGACCATGTCAAATCAAACAATCATTTTGGCGTCTCTTGCTTTGTGTATAACTAAGCGTAAAAAGAAATCTAAAATGAAACGCAGATTTTGGGGCAAAGAATGCAAGATTTTTGTCCAAAATAAGTCTCGTCTGTTTGTGCACCTGATTTACATGACTGCAATACTAATTTTAATTTTCTTTTATAGGATGTTAATTGTCTACAATTGTTAATTTTTTTTCTTACGTATTCTTCATTTGCATCTTTGTTTACTTCTTGCAACTTAAAATTAGAATGTCCATTGCCTGTTTTCGGGCGTTTCTATCGTGATACGTTTTACCTTTAATTCGCCATAAGCATTACTGTTATTTATATAATTCTTAAAACTCTCTTAAAAAATTGTAACTAAATGAAGCTACGTCGATTTTCTTTATGATCAAAGCAAGTGTGTATTTAAAAATGTATTTTGCATTATCGACATATTGTAAACGGTCACACACGCTCAACAAATTGATAAATCAACTCGGCAGTACTGCAGCAGACAGACCAGTCTGTCTGCGGTCAAATTGTACGATTTCATTAGCTGCACGGACGGTCACACACGATCAAAATCCTTGTCAATTCGTCGAACTCAACGAAGTTGAACAACGCCGCTGTATCGTGAGTGGATGGTAAGTAAGGCGGAAATACACCATTCAATTCGGTTGGACAATGTGGATGATTAAACCAAAATGAACCATGTAGTTTGCAATTCAATAAAAGCGTTCAACAAAATTGAACCTTGAAAACAGTTGAGATAATTTCTACTTTCGTTCAACTTCGTTGTATAACTGGAATGATTCATCCACATTGGCTCGTCTATACAAGTTTTGTCGATTGTGTTCGATTCAACCGTTTATTTCATCGAGTTATTATTATTATTTTTTTAATTATTTATTATTTTAGTTATTTTGACTTGTGATATAATAAGTTCCGTACGTACGTTTCGAATAATCAACATTGTTCAACCGAATGGAATGAAGAATAAATTGAAGCGTGTATATGTATGCTTTTCAATTTGATTGAACAATATAATTGAACCATCCACATTGTTCAACCGAATTGAATGGTGTATTTCCGCCTTATGTTGCACCAATTTATTATTCGTTATCTGCAGCTGACGGGAGGGAATATACGTCCAAGGGTTAAAGTGGTTTACTTTTTTGCATCCTTTTTGAGGTCATAATATTAATATTCTCTGTAAAATTCAGCTCGTTCGTATGATTTTTAGGGGTCAAGTCTCTGACGACTAAACTATATTATATTATTGTTTAATAAATATAAGTAATAAGCTAGTAAAATTTATATATAAATAATTAATATACAGACAATAATTAGGATTAATTACAAATTGATTGTATTACTGCTGATTTATAAATGTTTTCAATGGTGTAAATATTATGGTGATTATATAATAACCTATAGAGGACGAGACCTGTTCAGCTGCACGTAACGAAAAACCGCAAGAAAATTTAACATGGTAATTTCCCCAAAAAAGTAAATCGCTAATGAATTGAATACGCTTAAAATTTTGACTATATCGATGTAAATTTAA